GTGGATTTCATTTCATTTACAATATTAAGTGCTTTCTACTTTGACTTCTCCATTCTACTATATAAAAATATAAAAACCACTCATTTTCTATACCAAAGCTATTGACTTCAGCTCATAATAAAAATATTTTGGGTTCATTAAAAATGTAATATTTTCTATATATCATTGAGGTTATTTAGGGGTACATATTGGGTGAGTATAGAATATTAGGGGCTTATTCATTATTATACTATTGAGTGTTTTGTTTCTGTTTTATGATTGTTGCAGTTCTTGTTTTTAATAATTAGTGAGATTCAGGCCTCATATTTATTCCATTGCTAATAGCTCCTCATACTTCTCTCCTTGCTGTTAACACCTTTCATTTAATATAAAATGAATATACAATTCTGATGTGTTAAAATCTTGTTCTAATCACAAATCAGATAGCTCAATTTTGGTATTGATGAATTACTTACCTTTTCTGGGTAAACTAAACAACATAGTATTTTTTTCCCTATTGAGTCATGGTAAATATATGTATAAGTGATAAAGAAGTACTTCCTGCCTTATGTTCTCAGCTTATTTGAATTATCCAGAGGGATTATAATGAAATATATAGGCATGGGCCCATGTAGCTGAACTTCTTAGGTTTACTTTCAGGCTCTGCCACTTCCTAGTTATCTGACCTTGGTTACATGATTTAACCTTTCTCTGTAATACAGGATTAAGAGTAATATTTGTCTAATAGGGCCATGATGAGAATTAAGTGAGTAATGGGCGTAGCAACAGTGCCTGTAACAAAGTGAGGTTTACTATAGAGTTAGCGCTTATTTTTTTCTAGGAAATAATTACGAAGCATGCCAACCTCATATCTTCTTATAATCAAAACAGGCAGAAAGCCAGCAGCCAAAAACAAGCAGTGGTTCATTGTCATCCTGAAAAAAGAAGCAACATAATTTTAGATTACTGTCAACTCCTGGGATAAAGTTTTGTAATAAGCCTTTTTTTTTAACCACTTTTACATACATTTTCATTTTCTGCAAACAGGGATTGCTGAATTAGACCAAAATTTAGTATATTAATTGTTGGGATCAAGAGGAGAAGACAGAACTGTGGTTGGAAGANGTTACAGCCTGCCTCCTACTGGCCCCCCAGCCTTAGCACATGCCCTACCGCCTCTAAACCCTCCCTCTCACCATCCAGTCTTTCACAGTCCATTCTTCAGTCATCAACCTGAGAAAACATTTCAGGATACAGACACAATGGAGTCACTTTCTGTTAAACGTCTTCAACAGCTTCCGAGTCTTAGAAAGAAGAACCACATTTTTAGCAAAGGCTATGAGGAGCCTGTTGACTTCCCAAGCTCTATTCAGGACATGCTCCCCTCCTGCTCTCTGCTTTCCTCTCAGTGACTGTCTTTGAGCTATTCCAATGGGCCGGTTTCCATCCCGCCTCAGAATACTAGCCTTAGTCTGTCCCTTTATTAGTATGCTCTTTCAGCTTGCTCAACTAAGCGATGCCACTTTACCCTTCATACCTGAGACCTACCTAGCCTAATGACCAGATAAGTCATTAATTACATCAGACCGAAACAGGATCAGCTTGGGACCCCCACAAAAGAGGTCTTGCAATGTCCCTGACCTCTCCTCTCCCATCTCTAGAGCTTAACAATTGATCAACCCCCTCCCTGTGGTTTGAGCTTAGAATATCCCCTGTCCAGTTTCTTGCTTTAGATAATTATGCTGAAACGTGTGCTTGCTTACTGATCACAATGCCCCTTGCTTATGATCACAATCTCTATGGCCTAGCATTCTTTCCAGGTTACTTTCATCACTGCTCCTGGGTTGAGGAGCACTTTGGGGAGCCACATGGCAGACCACCGGAGCCATCACGTGGCCTCTGGAGGAATCCAGATTTTCCTTTAAATATCCGAGGCTGGTCTGAGTATGTTAAGGCAGTTTTTGGAGGTGTTAACCCACTGCCTTCCCAGACCACCGGTGCTCTGATAATAAACGCTTATTCTAGACCCAACTCCTGTGTCGGTCTATTGGCTGAGCAGCGCAGGCAGCACAAGCTCTGGGCTCATTTGGCCTCCGGTTTCAAGACAAGATCAAATCAACTTAACTACTTGATTGCAACCCCCGATACTTTTCCTTCAAAGACTTTGTTCTGTGACATCTACCAGATTCTGATGGAAAACTTTATACCTCAGTAAAAAAAAATTATTTGTCTGATTAGATGCTTGGTTTCCCAGTAAACTCTGATATTGCAGGGAAGTTTAAAATAACATTCATGCCTGGGGGTCAGTCTATTTGTTTAGCACCTAAAACAAATAAGGTGAAGTCTAAAAGAAGAAGGTTTC